TAGGTACGCAATTATCTATGCTCTACTTACTTTCCCGCATTAGCCATGAACATCTTTATTGACAGGCAGATGTAGAACATGGTCCCTAAATTGTTGAAGACGGCCAGGGCCGCAATCTGGAACCAGAGGAGGGCTTCGGCCACACCGCAAATGAGGACGGTCCCGTTTTCCATACTCGTGAAGGGCTTCCAGGTTGTAGAGTTGCAGGCAAGAAGGTGCCACGAGATGAAGAGTGGTTCACAAGCGTGGGACGTGGAAAACATTCCGGCAAAAACGGGGATGGAAAAAACCCCCAAAATTCCCGTAAATATGAACGCCTGCCAAGCCATGCCCATAAATCCGGTGGTATAGATGGTTTGCATGCCTAAGATAAAATATACTTTGTACATATAATACTTTTCATTTTTGTAGCGAGTTGATACATTATCATTTAGTGCAAATTCCTTTATTTGGTTGGCCTTCAATGGAAAATCCATGACAAAAAATGTACTAAAATTATGCCATAAAGTGGTAAAAAATATTATTGCATTCTTCGTCTCAGCCTACCACAGAACTTAAACGGGCGTTGTTCATTTTTTTCTTCTAAAGTAATGTCCTGTTACCGGGTTTTTGGGGTGTTGGGGTTTTGTGGTTTTTTGTGGGTTTTGGTTTAGCAAAAATACCAACGAGTGGTCGGGGTTTTCAAATGAATGGTAACAGGGTTTAACTAACAATTTCAAAATTTGATATTTTCTTAGCATAAAATTAATAAGCAGCTTTGTTGTGAAGTTGTAGAAGCAGCAGATTGTTCTTAAAGCCAAATACATGAGCCTCTGACTCAGTTTACCCTCAAAACCCTGACTACCCGCAACATCCAGGTAAAACCCCGTGGTATGGGTTTTCAATAGCAAAACCCCGGGGGGTTTTCCTAACCCGGCCTAATAACCTAGCGGAAAACAAACTTTCCACTAACAAATATTTAAAAAAAAATTTAATAGCAAGATTTTCACAATATTTATCAAATCCTTACCCTCCCATTCTTCATCCTTCTCCAAGTGGTGAGCCTGGTTGATCATTTTCATCGTTTCCATTAGTTTCCGGGTGTACTCGAAACGATAGATGATCGTCGATGTGAGAGGAAATAGCCACCCCAAGTCTAAAAGTTGATTGCTCATGCCATACTCACCAGAAGGACCGGTTTGCAGGCCGGCCATCCTAAGTCCAAATCCCGCCAAAAAATGTGCCGTTCTCGCAAATTGGAACAGAAACAGGACACGGGTTACAAATCGTCGCATTTTACCCTTAACTTCGGTAACATTCTCCCCCTCCCAAGATACTTTTAGGGGGATGATGCAAAGCGAGAATAGTATTTCTAAAGTGATCAAGTTCATTCTGTAAGCTTTCGCTAGGATATAATTTATCATCCGGAATGCGACCTTGTTACCGAGGCCGGTATGTGGGAAGGAAGTTAATCGTTTTTGTAAACGCGAGAAAACCATTGTTCAAGATGAGTATAAATAGTTTTTCGAATTGGATCATGAATTACTTATTATAAGGAAAACCAAAATTTATTTCGTTACAAATTAAGCTATCACTGTTTGACCCTCTGTTAAAAGCAAAATTCTTTTCATAATGGTTTCGTGAGGAAGGTTAAATTTTAAAATTCCATTCGATAGAGAAACTGACGAGATATAAATATTACTGCCTAAATTACAACACGCTAAATTTTGAAACTATTTATGGAGATTTACCATTGGTGAATAATAGTACCAATTTTCGTTTTAATTTTTTGATAGATACGGCCACACAGCAACTTTCCAATTATGGCGGATTAAGAAATTTACTTCAGAAATATTTAAATTCACCACTTAAATATAAAATCGCAAGGACAGATAAACTGCTTCTGGCCGAAAAAGTGTGAGTAGCTCGAGAGAATATGTTTTTCAAACGTGTGAATCTTATATAGGCAGAGAATTTGAAAGTAATAGAGTTTTTTGTTCTATAACAATTCTGACTTGGTCGTCAACCAATTTAAAAATTTATATGTTGGTTTGGTAACCTAACCTTACATAAATAAATTGACGTAATGGGTGACATCTATAAAAATTAAGTTTTACAGTTTAATAGCATATAAATTTTATCGCAATACGTGTAAATTTAAAAGGTCACGTTTTATGGCGAAAAGATGGCGTAGTTAGCGGCTCTAGGTACTGAATTTCGTCTTACAAGGGAACATTCCGAGGTGTCCAACGAGTTAAGGGTCGACACCTATACCAAAATGACCATAACACAGGACTTGTTAAACGAACTGAAGGAATTTCCGTGTAAAATTCACTTTTCGTCACGCTGTGACGATATTTGTGGCGAGCGCATGACCATCCGGTTGCCAGCGGGAGAGGTCGGCCACTGAACGATCAGGTCGACCACAGAGAAGCGTCGTCGTCTTCACGTCGTCCTCAGAGATTTACATCCATTTACATCCATAAACCGAACAAATCTACATCCATGAGTTCCGAAACAATATCTCTTAATAGAAAAAAGTTTTTTTGAACATGTACATACATACGCACTCTCGATAATTTTTTGACGTAATTGTTACCGACGGAGGTATTTACTATGCAACTCTAACGCTCGGGTAATAATTTATCACCGAAGGGTAACAGAGCCTAAATCCTGCTCAGCCCCTAATGTCAAGGCTCAGGTAATAAAAACATTACTAGCACCGGAGGCAATTTATTACTCTCAGAAGACAATTTATTACTATAATGTTACCGCGGGGTAGAGTTGCATAGTATACATGTATCTCCGCCGGTAACAATTTTGTCAAAAAATTATTGAAAGTGTGCTTGTGGGTGCGAATGGCTGCACGAACCAAACCAATTTCTTCTTGTTAAATTTTGTGGGTGTTTACTTACTCCCGAAACCCTGTAAAGTCCACTTTCACCCTTATCAATGTTTTGTAAGGAATAAGCAAAATAAGTAAAATAGTTATTGGGATTATACAATCGTCTGCGTTGTTGTGACGCAATTTAGTCTCCCTTACGCTTTCATAGATAATGAAAGAGTTTAGTAACCGAAAAGTTTGGAGAGTCGACGTGTACGTCATTAATTGAACCTGGATTCCTATGTACTTTCACGTGCGCACTTAACAATCTACATGGCGACGCATAAAAAATTGGTATTGACAAATTCAATTAAAATCTGACATTTAAGGCAAACCTTTTGTGTGAAATGACGTCTGGATTTATTCAAATCGAAATACGGTTGGATATAGTCATTAAAAATTTCACAGTCTTGAATTGTTGAACCCTTGAAAAGTAGTAAATGTATTTTGAGCCTTCAGCTTTTGTTCATATTTATATTTAGTAGGAGTTTATGTATTTGTAGTAAATCCATCATCATTTTTAAAATGAGGTTAGGATTGGGAAAATTCTTTTGTAAATATTTAAGTTGCAAGTCAATTCGCGAGTATTTGTCGCGGAATAGTGTGGTGCTGAAAAGGAAATGCGTATTATTTTATGGGGATCAGCATGCCGTAGCTTTATGCATATATAGGTTAACTTGTTATGGTGGAAACATTTATACCGTAAAACCTCTATTTATAGCCTTGTTCTATTTATAGCCGGGTCTAGAGACCAGGATTTCAAAATTTAGCCGGGTCTCTAATTATGACCTGTCTGGTCCGCTGTGTCCCCGTTCATAGTCCATTCAAGAAAAATGTTGCACATTATGCTAATCAACGAATTACTAATTTTTACCTATTAATTTCACGTTAATAATGGATATTATCATGGCAGAAAATTTAAAAAAAACTGCTAAACCTCGTTTAAAGATGTAGATTTGAAGTGAAAATTTTAAGCGTAACAAAATTTAGCCGGGTCTCTAATTGTAGCCGGGTCCGTGACCCTCAGTTTTGGATTTTAGCCCCCGCTATAAATAGAGTATTTACGGTACATATTTTAAAATATTTATATATGTAACTTATGCGAATATTGGGGTCGAAATGTACATATCCCTAAGCCGGTATTATATCGTCAGTCACTAATTTCTCTACGTATGTATGCATAGTTCTTTTCATTTTCAATAATTTCTGTTTATGGTCGGATATTTTTGGGAGGTTGAATTTGACTTTTTTTAGTTTGACCGTTATTTTTCCGTAAAAAATTTTTTATCAGGCCAAGCTTCATGTAACCTTAGACTGCCTTACGTTGTCCACAAAACATGCAAAACTTAAATGCATGCGGTTTTTGGAGGCTCAACAATAATTTATAGCATGAAGGAGTAAATCTCATTGTGGCTCTAATTGTAAATGTATTGCATGCATGTATGTATGTGGGCAGAGTCCGTAGTTGAGTAGACGAGGATGAATAGAAAAGGTAAAATATCTACCTCCGTGCCACAGCATTACATGGTAAAAACTTCGCAACATCAGTTTATTGATGTAGGAATAATTGCATACGCTACCTCGTAATAGGTAAAAGGACACAAGAAAAATTATTCATAGCAGGATAAATATGACAAACATAACATTTGGGAGCAAGCAGGAAAAGAAAAAAACAAATTTTCATATTTCTCGCATTATTTTAAGTAACACATTGTTGCTTTTGTTTAAAGCAGGTTCATTTCCTACATAATTATGTATTACATACATATGCATGACGTATACATTAATCCTTTTCTCAGTTTAGCGAAGTAGACATACATATTTAGCCCAGTTAATCCAGAAATGATAATTTATAACGTGTAATTCAGGCAGTAGGAGACACATAATTAGTGGGCAGTGAGCATACAATATTATTAAAGTAGTTATCAGCATGATTCATTAATGTACAGAGGCTTACGATAAGCCGCTTAACCAAGCCGCCAGCATGGGCACAAGTGAATTATTCATTTGAATTGTTTGATGAGGCGTTTTCTGGACGCGATCACTAAAACATAAACCTTGTCGTAATTATCGAACTTAGGTATAAGTACTGACTTCAATTCTGTTTTAAAATCATATTCAGCAAGATAGCGGGTACAACCAGTACACCTGCAATTAAAAAAATTGTCCTTAACATGTATACCATTGAAGTTCTTATTACCTTGCTAATGGGAGCTTCAGGTAAGTGGTTATCTAATTATGATACAATTTATGTAGTATTTATATTTTTAAATTTTGATTTTTTTCAACCGTAGCTGCCCTGCCATCAAAACAAATTGATATCTCTGCAAATCCAGACCTAATCGTGGGAGGAGCGGAAGCGACTCTTCATGAATTCAAATTTATTGTTGATATGCGGAAGATTGGTTTACATTACTGCGTGGGTTCAGTTATTAGTCAAGAGTGGGTAGTCATAGCGGCACATTGCGCGCAAAATCCGGCATCATCCTACACTTTGACTGCAGGGGATCACAATATTGTGGAGATTGAAGGGGTGGAACAAGTCAGATATGTGGTGAATATTCTTATTCATCCCAATTATTCAAGGTATGTGGTACGTAAATGGATTCCCGATTTAATAATTACTAAATGAACGATTTTGTGTAAACACAAAGGCCGGGATTTTTAAGCTACGAGAATGATATTGCGTTAATGAAAGTTTCACCACCATTCGAGTTTAATGAATATGTTCAACCCGTAATTTTGCCAGAAGCAGGATTTGACCCAACTGGTAAGCTTTTTAGTACAACATAGAGTGAAATTAAATATGTTCCATTTCCAAAATTATTATCTGTGTAGACATTGCCACGGTTATTGGATGGGGTGCCTTGACAGAGGGAGGTGAATCACCATCGAAGTTGATGAAAGTGGATGTCCCATTTGTGGACGATGCCACGTGCAACGAAAGTTATGGGGGAGCTGTGGCCGCATCTATGGGGAAGGCGGGAAATATTCGTGTCAAGGAGGTACCCCTTACAAATTAGATTTATTTCAAATCAAACAATTTTCTGGTTACGATTTGTGTTTAATTATTTAGATTCTGGGGGACCCATGGTTTGCGGGGCAGATCAGACATTGTGCGGGATTGTCTCGTGGGGAAATGGATGCGCTAGGGAAGGTTATCCTGGTGTATATACGGAAACGTCATATTTTATTGAATGGATTAGAGGCGCAAAGACTCCAATGGAAGAGGACGCCTCACCAGTTCAAATAAGTACTTTCTGCATTTTTGCTTGTATAAATTAATCAAAATACATTTGTCTATTCCCTAGTTACTTCGTGTGGTGGCCGTATTCAGTCAACATCTGCCGCCATAAATTTTCAAATTGGCGATTCAATTGGGCCAAATCAGAGATGCATATGGACTGTAGAAGCACCGTATGACGCACTCCGCTTTCAATTAATTTCGTCCGGACTTTCCGATTATGACGCCATCTACTTGACTAATTTTTCACAGGCTGATCTCGGATGTCAACAAAGATTGTAAATATGCTTTAAACTAGTATTCAAGAGCTATTTTTCCTCGAAAACATTTGCCGGAACCAAAAATTAGCAACTTTTTTAAAATTTTGAAAGTTGTTGGGTTCAATACAAACTTTGTATATTATGTAGCGAAATTCAAATTACATTGAATTTCAATGTAAGGGTGATTTAATACAAATTGCGGAACCTGTCGTTGCGAGCGAAAAATCCGTCCTGAGTAATAAGCAGTAAATACTGGTAATTATCAGGATTTATTTATGATACATTTCCACATGTACATAGATCAATCGTTGGCCAGAATTATACGGTTTCATCCAGCGTCGTAATCATCACGTTAGCTGTCGGAAATGTTTCTACAAGTGGATTTAGCCTAGAATTCTATTCGAGTGGTTTTCGCCATGATACCCCCAATTTTACGGGATATCTTGCAACTAGCGAAAAAACTGGAAGTTATACATACCCAGAAGATGGAGGAAGTTATTTGGACAATGAGAACACTTTATTCATTATTGCTACTCCTACGCCACAACCAAGAATACTTTCTTTTACAAAGTTTGACGTTGAGTATTCATATTATTGTCGATATGATATTTTGATAGCATATAGTTAGATTGATAACAAATATGTGGAAATTACCAGGTTAGTGAGATTAAAATGTCGTCGTGCGAAAATTAATAATTTGGTATGCCATATTAATTTATAGAGTTTGTGGAAATAACCTGCCACCAGACATCATGTTGGAAGAAGGCATCGGTCTGCTTAGCTTCCAATCGGATCATATTATTGCCCGGAGTGGATTTGCATTCCAATGGATGTAGTAATAGTTTGTTGTTCCTGATTAAGAGGCAAAAAATGTAAACTATAAATAATTTCGCAGCGAAATTGATTGATTGATTAGGTTTTTATTAAGGGTGTCGAACAAGCGTCAGTAGTATAAGTACTGTTTTTCAACTTTGTCATGATTTACTTCAACATAAATAATATTAATATGCATTTCTAGAAATAACGTATAATATATATTACATAGATTGTAGTCCACTAAGTTGTCTTTAACATGAACTAGAAATAATTCCAAAATTCCGCCTATTTGTTGAGAATTTGAGGTTTGAAATTTATGAAAAATCTTTGCCTGTCACTTTTGCTCTGTAGTGTAGGTCTATTTTACTTTCTTTCTGTAGGTCTTTTCAGAATTAAATACCGACTGCACTTAGGTCTTTTATGAATTAGGTCGACGATAATGACGAACTTACTCACATAACCTCTCCCACAATTAAGTTCATCAAACATCAATTTATCTTCGACCTCCTCCTGGCATATTCCATTTACAGTTTTTCTCACGAAATCCGCATCCTCCTCACCCACCCGGGTGAGGAGGATGGCGCGGCCCTTCTTGGACCACGACAACATAATTTCAGCTCTTTTTATAACGCTTCCCGTGGGAAATCGACTGGAAAAGTCTTTCACTGGTACCTATCCTTCACCTGAGGGTACTTTTCGAATTAGGTCTACAAAGAAAATCACAAAACTATTCTCTGAGTTGCTCTACACGATTTGGGCTTCAAATTGAAATTTTAATGTCCCGGTTTTGAAGTGTGGTGGCTTAAACTTTTATACAGCTTCTTGGACCACCCTGTGTATTAAATACACTCTAAGAAACCTAGTGATAACTACCACCACGCGGTGGTCATATGTCACTCTACGGGAATGGTGACAGCTGCAACCACCTTACGGTGACAACTACACCACCGCACGGTGATTGACCATCACCAAGCTGGTGATGTGCAACCACCCTCCGGTGGGCTTCTGCCACCTGCCGGTAGAGTCACATATGACCACCGCGCTGGTGGTAAAATTTCTTAGAGTGTAAACCCGATTTATACCTTCATTATCTTGAACTATCCACAATTTGTTTTAATATTTATGAGATGGGGAGAACAGAGGGTTACACATGTAGAATTGCATGCAAGTTATTTAGCCAATTCAGTATTTTCAAATTACTCTACCTCGTAATTGCGGATAATTACAATAATAAAAACAACTACGTTTAACCTAAATTTGTTCGGACGCTTCATACAATTTGGCGTAGGGATTTCGATGCCAGTTTGAAATTGAGGAAGGATTATTCAGGTTCCGGATCGTTGGTATAATACCAGAATCAGCTAACAATGCCACTGAAGCTATGGCCAATATTTTTTTCTATGTTTCGCCTATCTCTCGAACGAGAAACGTTTAATGATTTCCTTACTCTCTTTACTGGGTGCACGTTAGAAATATTCACGAGTAGAAGTTACCCTTATGACGACTCCCGTTTCTGGATAGCCGACGCGAGTCTTATGTTTCCGAAGGTGAAAGATATAAAGTTGCAGATCAGCTTAGTGGTTGAAGCGCGGAGTAACGAGACGATTGAGGAATATTTGTTGTCGCAGAAAAGTCTAGAGTCTGTCAGGTCAAAGGATTATTGTCGACTTGGATTTATTGACTTGCAAGGTGACGAGGAAAGGGAATATGGTTATAGCGCTTCCACCCTGTTCCCGCTAATGTATCGAACTCCAGAACCACATCATGTCTTTATCCGCGTCGGAGTTCCTCTACCAGCTGATTTCGGAATGCCGACAAGAAGTAAAATCGCATACCTGTTGGATAAGTTTGCAGGCATTACATGTGAAATGTTTGTTCGGGGAAATACCATGTGGATATTTCTTCCAAAATCTTATTTGGAGCTTGTCTTCATTGAAAAGGACAGCAGCTGTTTGCCACGGGAAATACAATTTTCCTCGATATCAGCAGAATCGAGCAGACGGCAAAATTTCGAAAGAAGACATCACATTATACTTAGCAACATGAAAGGGGCTCAGGTGGACGTTGGTCAAATAGTAAAGGTTACAAAGGATGAAATTAATGGGTATCAGAAAATTTGTGGGGCATACAAGATCAAGGACTCGCCGATTCCATTGATATGCGTTGTGGTAACGCTAAGCCGTAAATTTAATTTTACCTTGGGATTGGAGCAAAATAGTAGCAATTTCTGGTTATATTACTCGATTGTTAACTTATTCTTCTTAGATGATTTCAACACGCGCAAATTATTCAACATGCAACCAAAATTCATTACTCCGGCTGGGGGGTATAGTGAAGTAAAAACGGTTGTTTTTAGCAAAAAGCAGAAACCCGACGGTTTTGCTTTATTAACGTCATTCGATTACTATACTTGGACTTGCCTGTGCTTGTTACTACTTTGCTTAAACATACTTTTCAATCATGCTGGAAAACAAGCGATCTTCACCTGGTCCATTTCCTGCATACTGGTGAGGAGCTTAATGGAGCAGACAATTGATATGGGAAAATCCTACGGAACGTTGCTTAGAATTGTCCTAATGAGTTGCACGATCCTTTCGATGAACGTCGGAAACCTGTATCGTGGAACGTGCACTTCGCAGATGACCACTAAAACCTTGCCAAAAGTGCAGAGCGATTTTGAAAGCGTAGCGTTTTCCTCGATAGAAATTGTAACCACTGGGAAGGATAACGAAAACTTTCCAAACGGCACGAAAGAGATATACTCTTTTTTCACTGATATAATACATGAAAGATTAGTTGGGGCTACCAACGAATCAAATATATACAACATTTTGAAGAAATTAAGGGATCGTACAATTTTGTTTTTATCACCCTGGTATGATTTTGCGCTTAATACAAGCAACAATCAGCCTATTAAGACTAGCACTGGTTTCCAGCGTCTGCGAGAAATATTTGTATTCGTGGACGACGAATATGCATGCAATGCCTTAATTAAGCTTTTTAGATTTAATGATATATATTTTCCGATTTCTTACCAGAGTTCGAATTTGTTTACGGAAAGGCAGACATTTATTACAAGCAACAGAAAGCTTGCCAGAATTCTAAGTCCAGGTTTTTATGGCTTACATGAATCTGGGATACTCCAGTGGTGGGAGCACCGTTTTGAAGATTATTTAATTCTAAATCGAGAAGGTTTAGATACCAATGATACCAACTTTGGAACTGGTTTGCTTAGAGCACTTATTCAATGGCCACCTAAAAAGTCTCCCGGATTTGAAAATGATGTGGTAGGTCTTAATCATTTTGTGATGTTTGGGTATCTCTTGGTATTTTTGTATGCCTCATCTGAATTTATAGTATTATATGAATTTTTTTGGAATCGTGGAAGGATAAAGAAATATT